TATTACCAAAAGATCTTATCTTTATTTGCTAGCACATTCGTCAGTAAACGGCAATAGCGCATGAGTGTTCATCAGTATAATTTTTCCATTAAATGAACTGCTAGTGTTGGGTGTTGTCGTGAAGTTCTAGTGCAAGAATTTCTTTTCATTTTACACATGTATAGGGTATTTATTTTATCCTGCAAATTGAAGTATCTACGTTATTTTGCTGATACAAGAAAATGTGGCGGGACAACTTTGTTTAGTTCAAAGCTACAAGTATTATGATTCGTGTTTTTTCTCTCGAGTTCATTTTTTTTCAACCATTAAAGACCATCCCCCTATTTTGTACACATTAATTCCTATTTTTTATAACGCTGATAAATCAGACAGACAAGACAGACAGATCAAGACGAATTCAACGACCTCTGATACTGTGGCCTTCGAATGACCTTGAAGAAAAAATTTAATAATTTGGTTTCTCGCATAATGGATTAGACACCTGTCGTATTCAAACCACATCATTCCTCGGTAATGCAAGGGAACATCATGAAGAAGCATTTCAATTCCATTGAAGATCATTTGAAGGCCATAGTGTCAGAGGTCGTTGAATTCGTCTTGATGTATACCACAGTGTTGGGTTATACAAAACAGCAATTTATGTCCAAAAAATAGCGATCAATACTTGGAAAAAATGATCTTGATTCTCAGCTTTGAGAACTGAACAAAGTTGTCCTGACGCACTTTTTTTATAATAATGTAGTTATTTCAATGTGCAGGATAAAATAAACATCCTATATAAATTATCTCATAAAAAAAGCAGTTCGAGAGCATCACTCTTATCCTATTTCGGATAGATTAATGTGTCAATTATAATATTCAAAGCAACGATCCACTCACATTCTCTTAAAGAGATTATTATTGTTATCTTACAAATTTTCGTCCTCCTCCTGTTAGTTCAAACCACGATACTCTGATCGAGTCTAATTAGATTACTCCGAAGGTGCTCCAAGATTGTTATCAGTTCGAGATATACTTTTTCTTTCCGCTCATGAACTGTGAATGTCTGCGTATAATTGCATTTTCATAGATAAGTTTACTAGAATTATAGTAGAATAGCAGTTTAATAAAAAGTAGCAGAAGGTAAATCATCAATATAGTGTTGTGAATTTCATAAACTATCTGTAATTAACGTATCAACTCGAAACTAATCTAAAACCTATGTCAACCATAATTTCATCAGTCGTAATTTCATAATGTCTACAGCTTAATTATCGATCACCTCTGTCAATTTATTGAGTACTTTATCATTCTTCCACAAACATGAGCTTTCAGTAATTAGAAATAACGTTTATAATTGTATAATTAAGTCAAATAATGTTCATAATTTCAGTCGGGAGTACATGTTCCGCTTAAATTCGTAAAATCCTAAATCTCTAACTCGTGTACTTTACTCGGAACAAGTCTGTCTGTTCGAATATTACAACAATTCACGCGACACAGAACACACATTTTTTTTTTCGTTTACAGTTCGTCAATGTTACGAACGAATGTTCTCCTTGCACGTGTTCTATTCTGCACAGATTGTGCAAAAAGATTTATGGTGGTAGTCATGCATGAACGCCGGTGCATCGATGTCTATCGAAAACATGGCGAACACGAAAAAAAAAACAATAGTCTACCTGAACGAGACCCGTAGAATGCAAAATGATCTTCCATCCGAAACCACAGTTGCCACTCAAGTTGTTATTCGAAATCCAGTGTTTCTCAAGCTTCGTTCCGTTACAGTTATCTCCCTTTGCATCTCCTTCGTTTAATCCGTGTTGATTTCAATCGTTAGTTTCTTGTCTGGCAGAGTACTATCGTTCCCGAGGGAATAATGAAGCGTGCATGGGAATACGTGATAATTGTTTTGCCGCACAAAATGCTTTTGTTATCGTTTGCAGTGCATGGGAGTGTGTGATCGCCGCTTTACTCGGAAAGTAACATTGCTTCGGATGTGAGCAACATCTCTCGAATTTAGTCACTGATTATTTTCAAATACATGTATAATACCAGATTTACGGAGCACTGAACGGACTATTTTATATGATCGAAGATGACCAAGAGATTATACGTATAAATACCGATGAAAATAAGAAAAATAAATTTACTCAGACTTTAACGATTTTTATCGATTATGATAAGCACGTATGAATGTGCCAGGAAAAAAAACAAATTTATTGGATATATTCTCCATAGATCTAGATTTACGCTCTCATTAATCGTAAATTAAAAAGCCCGTAAACCTAGCGTTAATATGATATTTTATTATTGGTAGACTGCGGATTTTACGCATTTCCAGCAAGAACGAGCAGGTGCAATATCAAACAGAAAAATTGAAACTATTTAAAAATATCTACCTGCAGCTTCCAACTCTTTAAAATTATTAAAGAAAGAATTCGGTGCCCAGCTTCTTCTTTAAAATTGATGCCGAATATTTTTATTCCGCATAAAAATTCGCAGTCTAATTCTGAGTATTTAAAATAATCCTTATCTAAATCCACGTTGAAATAACGCAATTGTAGAATGAATATTTCAAAACAAACGAATACAGCTTACAATCGAAAATGTTGAACGACACCCAACGCACGAAAGCTTCTGAAGTTTTTATGAAATCAATTTATTATTACACTTCAGGTCTTGCACGTGTGTAACAAATGTAAAACCATCACCTTAAGATTATCTTTTAAGTTAATCCTCCGAAATGTAAATGTACATAATAATCTACATTCTACTACTACTAATCAATGAAATTATAGCCTAATTTCAAAATAAGTTCTCGCAATCGAAGAGTTAGTGTCAATTGTTTCCGCTGAAATTGCTTTCCAATTAATTGCATGCTACACAAACACAGTAACAAAAATGACACGGGCTCTTTATGACCAATAATATCGAATCTGTAATGTTTCAATTATTAATATCAATCGTTCTTCTCTTTGCCTGTAAGTTTTTGGATTTGTAATTCGTAAATCCGTCTATAAACGAAAATGCTAATAGCAGAAAGAATCGATTAGCGATTTTCACAAATAAGAGAAGTAATCAAGATTTCTCTGTGACAATGTTAGAACAATTTATATGTATGCACATATCGGTGGTTCGCTGTTTCGACTACATCGGTTAGCAGGTCAGTAAAACGCATCACTGTTCTCCATCGCGCTGCACTTTTTTTGCAACGCGCGGAGACAGGAAAACACATTGCTCAAAACAATTAGAGATGCAGCAGCTGTGGCTGTTCACACGGCATTAAATTTCTGGATGCAATCATCGTTTAATTTTCATCTAATAATTGCCTTGAGTCCAAACTTATCTAGAGTTCTACAAATAGCAGAAGAATCTATATCTTTGCTTGATTGCCGCAACAATCCGCTTGCAATAGCAATTCAACTTTTCTATCTTTTGTATGTTCCAGTTAACAAGTAGCTAAATTGCCGTAGATTTCCACTTTATTTGTAACTAGACTTCAATGTGAGAATTCGTTATCATCAAAATATGTTTCACATTTTTATTATTTCAAATAATAAATTAAAGCTCGATCTAAAGGAACCAATATGCAAAATGATTTACTATATAAATCGATAATATTATGTCTGGCACTGTGACTAAGTAAGTGTTCTATTATCCGAACACCGGGTCATACCAAGGCCTTACTGTGAAACAAAAATGAGTGCATCAAATATAGATTAGTAAATATTTTTAAAAAAATAATAAAAAACATTATTATATCTTTCACAATTGATTGAATTTAATGAAAGGAGAAATAAATCTCTGTTTTCATTTTGCGCAGACATCCACAGTTTATTTACAGTGAGGAACGATATAGACACCATTTCAAAAGCAATAATGTTTGAAAAATTGGACCAGATAACTTAACATTTTTTTTTTAGCAATTGTTTGAAATAACAAACAAATAAGAGATGATGTTTTTCAACTATTTTATCTGAACTTAAAAGGAAAATTTGAACAATCCGTTTTCTATTAGGTCATGCAATATGAAATGTCGAGATTCTTATCTCTCACAAATCCCAATGAATTTTTTGCATCTTTTCTTAAAAGGGAATTTTTTATCGAAACCTTGAATCAAAAAATTATTATTAAAATGAATAGGTGAAATATAAAATGAAAGTATTAGAAGAATGTAACGATATGGACACATTCTTTTAAAAGACAATTTAAATTATTAACACAAGAAACCAATTTTTCTGTTCATACTTCTTTTTGCAAATCATTCATAAACATTTTAATTTGTATAAATATCCGCGGTCCACGTATAAGTTGATATCTATGAAACGCATTCTTTAAATTTTCGTTACAGGCTCAGACAAGAAAGTTGGAAAAACGTAGTTTGTAAATTGTTAAAAAAAATGTCTTTACTCATTGTCTAGTAAACTGAAACGTCTAGCATCTGAAACAAGTTCAAGTCATTTCATCTAATTTTTAAGAAAGTTTTTTAAAAGGTGTCCGAATGTTATCATTACTAGACTGCGGATTTTATGCATTTATGACAAAAATAAATGGATCAATAGAAAAAACATTTAAACAGTTCAAAAATACTATTGTAAGGATCCGCGGTCTAGTCATTACACGCCTTATAAATATAAATCGATTTGCATTTGGAGCAGAAAAATAAGTACAGAAACTATGAAATCACTGTTATTAAACGACGTAGCCAATTTCGAATATGGACGCAAGGATTAACTGTTTCGTAGCGAACACAGCAACCAACCGATTGAGAAAATAGGCGAACTGCCCGCCGGCGCGTGTAACAGTTTCGAAAGTTGGGTCATAAAGGGTCGCAATTACCGGAAGGTCGGGCCCGACCGTGCCAACGGTCAAGTTTGAGAAACCCTGCCCGGACCCGGCAAAGCACGACTGTGTCGATTTGCATAGAATGTGGCGTTGCAAAATTCGTGGCGGTGCTAGCCGCAAGCCCAGTTCCGTACGGCATGGCAGAAGCAATAACGCAGTGCTCGTCTCTACAGGAACCGATCGTTATCGAGAAAGCAGACGAAGAGGAGGCAGCGACGATTTGCCAGCCGAGCCCGCCAGTCGAACACGAAGAGCACGAGGAAAAGGAAGCGGCGATGAACGGGAAGATCATCGAGGCTTTCGAGCCACCGCCGCGAAAGCTGATCGAGGAGTCAATCGACGCGCACGATGCACCTGAGACCACCGAGGCCGCGTGCATCCCTGCGGCCGAACGGCCGACGACCTTGACCCTCGGCAACCAAGAAATCGGCATGCTGGACACGATCGGCATCCTCAGCCCGATGTCTCCCATCTCCAAGCAGGTAACCGATCCTCTTTGCAACCGATTTCTCGGATCCCACGGCGTTACTCGATGCTTTGCGCTTTCCAAACGATTTTCATTTCGTCGCAACCACTTTCACAACATCGTCTGATCTCAGGATGCGGCAGAGTTCTAATGTGACAATTTGAAAATAGAGTTTGCTTGCTTCGATGTGTTCTCGATATCTTGATACCTTATCTACTGGCAGTTTTTTAGCAGTTATTTGAACATTTTTATCAAATGTTGAAAATTGCGAAAGAAATTATTTCAGTTTCATTCACGACGCAGCAGATTATTTGAATTAACGATTCTGCCATAATTTTAATTAACGCTTTAACCGACTGTTTTCCGTAATAGACCGTTTCTTCATGACGAGTATACTCGTCGAAAACAGCTAACTGTTTGAGAAGGATATATAGTGATTCGCGTTAATGTTCGGACACCTTTCAAAACAGAATACATTTTTTCGAATTGAACGAAATTTTTTTCTTAAACTTTTTTTTTCTTAAATTTGCTATTAACTTGGAAAGACTCTCATGTTCGTTAATTTTTTTATCTGAGCCTATAACGAGATTATAGCCTAATCGAAAGTCGTGGAAAACTGCGATCTCCGCGATCTTTAGTTGTTTGTGTCTCATAATAACGTCAACTAATTGCAATGAAATTTGTAGCATGCATGTAAATTACAGAGACCTTCAAAACATGTTTTTATTTCGTTATAAGCTCAGATGTAAATTAGTAAATCTTGCTTTTTACATTTCAAGCAACTGCAATTTTTAAAAACAATTGTAAACATTGCCTAATAAACTAGTGTCTCTAACATCTAAAAAAATACAGGTCATTTTGTCCACTATGAGAAACGTTATTCGGTTTTAAAAGGTATGATATTATTCATTTAATTATATATTTTATAAAAGTGTTGTTATCTAAACAAAATATAGAGAAAATCAAATATATATACAGTATAATTAGAGTAACTTGGACACTTTTCAAAGAGTTTGCAACAGTTAGCTGATTAAGATCGAAGATCAAGAGTTAAAAATTTTATTAAAAAATGTCTCAAAAACCACGACAATCTTACTTATAATTCAATGAATTATTTCAATGAATATGATATAACAATCTCTTTTGGAATTTTGTTAAATTTGAAACTGCAAGGCCAATTAATAGCATTCTGGTAAACAAAGTGTTAATACAGTGTAAGTTCTGGAATTGTTATTAAAAAGGAAATGATCAAACTTTTTTCGTTTTAGATATAACTCAGCCAATACCAAACGTACCGAGAAATAACTAACGTGTGTTACCTTATAACAACGAAAATATTTATTTATACCTTCCGCCATTTTTATTATGATGTATGCTTGGATTGAGAAAAGTCAATCATTTCCAATGAAAGTTTTTACAATTTCAGCATCCGTAAAACGAGAAATGTGAAACCTGACGTTTTGACCAGCTCGGTGAGAGCTTAGTGTTAAAAAAAACTTGTTTACAGTAAATGATGTGTTGAGTTGTGAAAAACGGTCCACGTTTGCCATTCTTAACTACTATGTGTCATTTCGCGTCGTAGCTTTCGCGATCGACTAATACATATTTACTTATCGTATCAGCTATATTCCGCGTGTGTTTTAAATAAACATGATTCAATAATGATTGTAGCTGTGAATCATACGTGATGCACTGGACAGTGAACGTGATAATCGTGTGTATACGAGTGCATGAACTGTTTGATATCAGTTTTCATTGAAGTTAAAGAACTTTGTTTTGCAATCTAATTTTTTAACTCTATTGAATTTGATAATATAATTTAATATAAAATTTAATCGTGATACATTTTTATTATTTTGAATTAAAAATAGATTTGTAATAGTATATTCAACGATCTGTAATTGATTACTGCGACAGCCTTTTGAATTTCTTCGCGCGAATGACGTCTGACTCTCTGGAATACATTATGACAACTTCTAAATTTGTTTCCAAATTGCGTACGACACCGATTATACTTTCTGTGAAGAAGACAGTCAACATTTGCTCTGTCAGCGATAACAGTAATTAGTGGTTACGACAGAGAGATCTGAACATTTTACCTTAATCGTCTCGTGACTATCTTTTATCTTCTGCTTACCTCCTATCAGTGTGGATTTAACTATTTCTGAAAAAAATAGAGACGTTCGATAATATTGTATAAAAATTCTGATAACAGGTGTATAGAATTGGATTATAAATGAAAAACATTTAAAACAAACAGCTTTCAGTCATATTTTTCTACTTACGTGAAAACAAACTTTGTTATATAACACTGTGCTACATCATTTTTGTTGTTGTACATAGTTTTATGAAACGCAATCATCGAATGAGACGCAGACAGTTCTTTTTTCTTTTAATATTCTGGTAGGCTGCAAACGTCAGATATCTGATTTCTGCTAATTAAACTTCCTTTGAGAACTTCGGCTAGTGAAAGTGCAAAGCATTGTTCTATAATTAATAAGGTTTGCAAGAAATGCAATTTAATGAATTTAATAAGACTCGCAGCATAGAAACCTTTAGAATTTAAACAAAGGCTGATTTATTTATTCGGAGGAAACGAAATTGCATTTTGTCTATGTTTCCCGATCTTTCGAAATGACAAGAAACATTTGAGCCGTTTATTTTCAAAGTGGCATAAGTCACTTTTTTTTTTAAATGAAAAGATACCGTTCAATTGTAATTAGTGTTACCATTAACTCGATTTTTTTTGAAAAAGTGACTTATGCCACTTTCAAAATAAACGGCTCATTTATCGTGGCGAAAGTTGCATAGATCGAACCAGTTAAATGTATAAGTGACTTATGTTATTGACAATAGTAATTATTATTTGCATTTTGTTAACAATTGTAATAATTATTTTTATTTCTAGCAATAACTCGAATCTTGTATATTTTATTTTTTGAAAACATAATAGAATACTGCAAAGTGAACGGACGTTACGGAGCATTTGTAATTTAAGAATGTAAAAATCCATGCTCGCATAAATGTCCGACGTATTAAACGGCTAAGTTCTCACAGAACGGTAGCTGTCCGTAATAAACAGTAACCATAGCAGTTCTTTATAGGCAATAGCGTGTTTATCTCTGCCCATTTACTTAAAACCGCTAGAATTCTAACTAATTGGATTTCTTCTATTACAGATCTTACCGCTGAACCTCTCCAGCGACGAAGAGATTGTTACCGGTCTGGCATTTCCCCTTGGACCACCTACCAGTGTAGAACCTCCAAAGGAGAAACCACCGCCACCACCCGTGGATGTCAGCGACGAGGAGAGTCTTCCCATAGAGCCCCTGAAGAGATTAAACTCTACCCGCAGAATTAAAAAAGAATTGCGCACGAGGCGTTCCGATTTTCTTGGAATCGAAGGGGTAAGTGATTATCCGTTCATTACGAATACACGATTCATATTAACTTCCACCGCACGCTTGGAGCGTACGACGAAAATAAATCGAATACGAAAATAATCGAATCACTTCTCGCACATTAAAGGGAACAAATTATTATTGCATACGTAACGAATTTTATAAGCAACTATATACAGCAACAACAAGATTTCTGAAAGTNGCTAATTAAACTTCCTTTGAGAACTTCGGCTAGTGAAAGTGCAAAGCATTGTTCTATAATTAATAAGGTTTGCAAGAAATGCAATTTAATGAATTTAATAAGACTCGCAGCATAGAAACCTTTAGAATTTAAACAAAGGCTGATTTATTTATTCGGAGGAAACGAAATTGCATTTTGTCTATGTTTCCCGATCTTTCGAAATGACAAGAAACATTTGAGCCGTTTATTTTCAAAGTGGCATAAGTCACTTTTTTTTTTAAATGAAAAGATACCGTTCAATTGTAATTAGTGTTACCATTAACTCGATTTTTTTTGAAAAAGTGACTTATGCCACTTTCAAAATAAACGGCTCATTTATCGTGGCGAAAGTTGCATAGATCGAACCAGTTAAATGTATAAGTGACTTATGTTATTGACAATAGTAATTATTATTTGCATTTTGTTAACAATTGTAATAATTATTTTTATTTCTAGCAATAACTCGAATCTTGTATATTTTATTTTTTGAAAACATAATAGAATACTGCAAAGTGAACGGACGTTACGGAGCATTTGTAATTTAAGAATGTAAAAATCCATGCTCGCATAAATGTCCGACGTATTAAACGGCTAAGTTCTCACAGAACGGTAGCTGTCCGTAATAAACAGTAACCATAGCAGTTCTTTATAGGCAATAGCGTGTTTATCTCTGCCCATTTACTTAAAACCGCTAGAATTCTAACTAATTGGATTTCTTCTATTACAGATCTTACCGCTGAACCTCTCCAGCGACGAAGAGATTGTTACCGGTCTGGCATTTCCCCTTGGACCACCTACCAGTGTAGAACCTCCAAAGGAGAAACCACCGCCACCACCCGTGGATGTCAGCGACGAGGAGAGTCTTCCCATAGAGCCCCTGAAGAGATTAAACTCTACCCGCAGAATTAAAAAAGAATTGCGCACGAGGCGTTCCGATTTTCTTGGAATCGAAGGGGTAAGTGATTATCCGTTCATTACGAATACACGATTCATATTAACTTCCACCGCACGCTTGGAGCGTACGACGAAAATAAATCGAATACGAAAATAATCGAATCACTTCTCGCACATTAAAGGGAACAAATTATTATTGCATACGTAACGAATTTTATAAGCAACTATATACAGCAACAACAAGATTTCTGAAAGTTAAAAACGAGAAAAAGTTCTATACTTCTGTTAGAGACTATTACGTTTCATAAAGGATAAAAATGTTACTAAACTTTCCTAAAAATCTTACGGTGCCGAATTTTACGATATCGAAGTAGCTGTGAATGGACAAAATCTGTAATAACTATTCTAAACCGAAGCTGATTGGGTCTTAAGACTTAGCCAGCCGAATGGGAAGATCTCCTCCTTTTAAATTCAGTCGATTGATGGCCGAATGGGTAAATCTTACACTTCTAATTTCTAAAAATTAGAAGTGATTGCTTAATTTTGTAAAGATTTGCAAGAGATACGAATGTTGAAGAAGTAATTGATGCCGTATAAGTTTACTTTGCAATTTTCATTTAACCGAATGAAATGTTTTAATTTCATGAAATTCTTGAGGTTTTTGGCGCGGCCGTGAAAGTGTTAAGAAAATAATGTACTGCATAAAATAGTTTAAGAAGGGCACAATTTCTATAATTCTTAACAACCTCCTTGGTTAGCTCTTTTTATTGATTCTTAAAAAGATGTAACCGAGATAGTGTATTAGAAATGTCCTGCGACGCTACGACGGTAGATGTCGCAAAAATTATAAAAATGAGTAAAATATTTGATTTCTGATAAGCAAAAACACAGATTAATTGTGATTACTTTGAAACTAGTACCTAAGCTCAGTGTAGAATCCATGTTTTCCGCGAGTAAAGTCGACATTGTCGACATTCTTTTCCGCTTGTTTTCTTCGCTTGTCGTTTCTTCTCACGCGTTTCCACCGTTTCGACAACTTTCACTCGTTTCCGGAAGCCAACGTGCTCCATAGTAATGCACTTCGCGTTGGTACACCCGCGTTTAGCGTTGCGAAAGATGGTATCGTCGCCGTAACATCGTTTAATGATATTAATTGGAGCACGTGAATGGATTTACGTAACGCACACCAACCGCGTCGGGATGAAGGACAGAATGAAATTTGCGATTTGCTCGACGACTAGGCTATTTACGAAAAGAAAATACAGATTTTAAACGACTAAAAATGTCCACGAAAGGAACTCGGTTTCTAATCAAAAATTAATATCTAAAAAGGTATTGGTATCTTTTACTTCAAGCAAGATATCGATGCCAAAAAGCTAACATAAAATTAAGGAACGTCATAAATCATTTTTGTTTCAATACATCAATCTGATTTATCAGTAAAATATAATTATACTATATATGTGTTATCGGTGAATGATAAATGCATCGATAGAATTTGTTCTAAAAAATTTGTTTGTGAATCCACCTGGAAAGGGGAAACTATGCTAAAGATAGGATTTGTACGATTAGATATTGAATAATCGTAAACATCCACTTCAACACTTCCTTGTAAAACAGAATGCATTTCTATTCTCAAGGCTGGTTCTAACATGATGATTAATTTAGTAGAATGGCGAGTTACTTATTATTAAATTATGATTAAACTATTTTTGAACTGTAGCGCAGTTGATGATCCTTCATAGTCACGAGTGCTGAACATTAATATTAGTTAACCCTTCGTGGATAAACACGTTTCTTGCACTTTACGTGAATTTTCGTTCTGAACAAAAAAGACCCAGTTTGCTTACAGAACGTTGACATTATTAACATATTACAATCCATAATGCTTCATGATTCACGTACAGTAATATCTCCCTAATTGACGCTCAGATTGTCCACAAAAATGGACAATTTGGGAAGAGTAGATACGATTATTCGAGTCTTGCAGCTCGTTCTTATAATTGTTGACAATGGGTAACTATAAAAACGAGCCGCAAGGCTCGAATAATGTTATCTCCTCTTCCCAAATTGCCCATTTTTGTAGACAATCTGAGCGTCAATTAGGAAGATAATACTGTACGTGAATTATGAAGCATTATGGATTGTAAACTTTCAGAGCAATTTCTTCGAACCAACGCGACGACACCTTGAATGCTAATGAACTACTCTAAAAGAATATATCCCAATAGATGTAGTTTGTACATCTGGTTCAGCTAATGTACTTTGCTAAATTGGTTTAGTATCCTACTCGACTAAATCGTATTGTCAACACATAATAGGTTACTGTATTAAAAAAGAACATCTCTACAATTACTTCATACAACACTTATCAACAGAACATGTCGATAGTTATTTTAATCCTTTGAATTCCTTGCACTATGATTTTTTTAACGGCTACGTTGATTAACATTTCTTCGTCTTTAATCCTTTGCGGACGAGGATTTTTTAAAGTAACGAGAACGTTTTTCTCATAAAAACAGATTATGCATCGAGGACTTGACTCATTAGAGAAATGAGCAATTCATTTTGTAGAGAGAATGTCTCCAAATTATGGTATTTCCGGGAAATGTGGGGTTGCTGAGGTCATTTGACATAACTTTTGACACAACAATTCGCGACTTTCTTTATGAGTTATTAACGAAAAACACACTTCCACTCATCTGCCACGAGTCAACTGATCTTGCCTCTCATTGGTCACTGTTCTTTCGTTAATAACTCGTAAACAAAGTCGCGGATTGCATTTCTGCTAAGGTAAAAGTTACCTCAAATCACCTCAAGAATCCTTCCCGGGTGTTAACATAATTATGGGATACCCTGTACATTAAGTATGAAATCTTTATCGCCATCACACAGCATTTACATCAACTACATCATTTACATGTAGTATAAATTAAATCTTCTAGAGTCTAATATGATTTAATCCTGTTACAGTACAAGAGACTGAATAAAGAAGAAAGTTATTAAATTGCTCGCCAATCTAATGAACTAGTCATGTCTGAACTGTCTTCGTACTTTCTCCGATCATGTATTATATGTGGTTAAGCTAAACGCCTTTCAAGCAATCGGCCTCGTCTTCCAGGTTAACGATGACGACCTTGAGCGTGAGTTGACTCTGACAAAGCCGCCGGACATGGCGGCGATCCTGGCCGAAGAGAGACGCATCGAACAACTGCACCGTCGCTCGTACGACACGGATAGCAACTACGAACAAGACTCTAGCCACGAGAGAGACTCCGGGGTCGAGTTGGGCCACGCTGAAGACTGGTCGAAGCAGCCGGTCAGCCCGGACATGTCGCAGCACAGTCGACAAAGCAGCGAGCCGTTCGGCGCCAGCGTGACCTCGTCCGAGGAGGACGAAATCTCGAAAAAGGAGCGCGAGATCATCGAGGTCCTCGAGAAAGAGGAGCAGTGGCGGTACGGCAACAATTGCGAGATGAACAGGTAGGAATTCACCGTGGCAATTGCAATGGTCAGTGGAGGGTTTAGGGTCCTTCTTTATCTATCGGTTCGGTTCGACGTCGCTTCTTTTGGACAACGGCTGCATTGACAATCTATTCTTCAGTTTAGTCGGGGATTAGTGCGATGCGGTTCTCGAAATTCCGTTGTTGGGCTTTCTGGTTTTCTAATTTACCACCAGGTATCGAAGGTATATTGTGTTCTACTCGGATTCACGTTTATTTACACGGTGTACCACACCTCCTTCTGGGCTCTCCCAGGTGGCAACACCTGCCCGAGCGTTCCTCGGCGAAGACGTTTCTCTGTTGTAATATCGTTGGCACGTCTGCGGGAACCAAGGTGACGGTTTCGGATGCTCCTAAGTCTGTATGTTAAATAACAGCAAGTTTAGCTCTGTGTGTTCGATCACGAATGTGTCCTAGGAAATAGCGTGCCGATAAAACAGTGCGTTCAAATCCGGTTCGGTAGAGTCCTCGAGCTCGTGAATCCTTCTAGATTGACGCCCGCGGCTATTCCGACGACACATATCTACTCTATCTTTAAGCGTGTTTTGTATGTATATAGAAATATATAGATATATGAAAGTTATATTGAATCTGTATGTCGAGAATCAATGTACAAAAACGGTTATGAATAAAATAAAAACACTTTTACTTTGAACACTGATGGTCCTTTCCTACCGCTTCTACTATCACTATCGCTGCTCGCTGCGTTGCTCCTCTGGTATCGGTCGTCACCCATTTTTCCCGGTTCACCACACGCTAGCCTGTGTACATAGAGACAAACAGACAAAAAAAAAACGATGGTAGTTAGCCGTGGTTCTGTCGAGTAATCGAGACATTCATCACGAAACAGTGACTTGGGGGAGAAATTGGCGCACAAGCTGTGCAAGCTTGAGGAAGAGAAGATGCAGCTGGAACGGGAACGGGCCCAGGAAGCGGTTCTTCGCCGGCAGGAAGAGACCATGCGCAAGAACGAGGACAACATTCGCAAGCAGGAGGAAGCGTTGCGCAAACAGCAAGAGGAAACCGCCAGACAGCAGGAAGCGGCGCGTGCCGAGACAGAGGCGAAGCGTGCTGAAGAGAAGAGGCAGGAGGAAGAGCTGAGGGCGCAGGCCGAACAGCTCAAGATCCAAAATGAAATCGAGGAGGAAAGGAGGGCGGCCGATGCCCGGCGCAAAGAAGAGAAACGCATCAGGGCCATGGAAAGTCAAATACGGGAGCAAGAGGTCAGTAGCATTTTATTTTCATTGCTTGGTTGCGATTGGTTTGTTTACGAGTACGATATTCTCTCTTTATACAGAATGTCCCAAAATTGTCTCGCATTCCGGAAATGGGGGGTTTCTGAGGTCATTCGAAGTAACTTTTTCCTTAGCGAAAATGCAATCCGCGGCTTTGTTTACGAGTTATTAACAATAAACACTGGCCAATAAGAGACGAGCTCGACTGACGAGAGGCGGCCCAGCCATCGAGCACAGTTCCACTCATTGGCTCGTTTCGCCAACCGAGTTCGCCTCTCATTGGTCGCTATTTTTCGTTAATAACTCGTAAACAAAGCTGCGGATCGCATTTTCGCAAAGGAAAAAGTTGCTTCAAATGANGGTCATTCGAAGTAACTTTTTCCTTAGCGAAAATGCAATCCGCGGCTTTGTTTACGAGTTATTAACAATAAACACTGGCCAATAAGAGACGAGCTCGACTGACGAGAGGCGGCCCAGCCATCGAGCACAGTTCCACTCATTGGCTCGTTTCGCCAACCGAGTTCGCCTCTCATTGGTCGCTATTTTTCGTTAATAACTCGTAAACAAAGCCGCGGATTGCACTTCCGCTCAAGAAAAAGTTACTTCGAATGACCTCAGGAACCCCCATTTCCGGATTGCGAGACATTTTTGGGACACCCTGTATAAAATGAAGCAGTTACATATGCACGCTCTTCCATCTTTCCTTGGAAAAGCACTTGCTCCGGGGAAAAAATTGAAGCGCTGTTGCTTTTTTTGCTATGTCGAACCTTGCACGTGTAAGAAAACTGAAGAATTTTCGCTGGATCCTATCGCTAATTCGTAACATCAATTCTCGTGTAAAAAAAAGTACTGATCGGAGAACCTAGACAAATATCATGGAAAAAGAGATAAAATATTTACCAGCCAGGAACACCCTGCTCCGAGAACTATTTCTTNTTCGCCAACCGAGTTCGCCTCTCATTGGTCGCTATTTTTCGTTAATAACTCGTAAACAAAGCCGCGGATTGCACTTCCGCTCAAGAAAAAGTTACTTCGAATGACCTCAGGAACCCCCATTTCCGGATTGCGAGACATTTTTGGGACATCCTGTATAGTGTGGCTGAGAAATCGTGGTACAACCGGCCAGGGGATGATTCTACATGGAAAAATAAGTAGAGAAAAAGGGTAATATTTTTTCATTCAAGGATCCGTTTTCGAGAAAAATAGATTGACAAAATAATACTATTGAATATGAATCAAGTGACGCGTCTAATCATCGCATACCAATTATACTTCTCGTCATACTACAAGCCATAAAAACCTGGCGGATCTTTAAACTCATTTTAAATTCCTTTTTCCACTCATTTCTCCATTTAGGATCATTCCCTGGCCGATTGCATCACGATTTTTCACCCACCCTTTATATAAATACACCATGGAAATCAAACTTTGACATTTCTTAGATAAAGTTGATTTTTATTGATTATAAACTCGTTAGAAAAATGTATCTGTTCTTCAAAAATATTTGATTCTTCTCGTTCGTCTTGTACTTCACAAGTAATCATTCTAGCAAACCTCATTGCTTATATGGCTTTATTTTGTATATCGTTTCAAATTTTTATGCAAAATAAAATGCGTTTGTATTGATTACAAGATATAGGTAGACACTTATCTCTTTGTTTAATGATCTTAACCAGCTCCAAATTTTTTCACTGTTTTACAATCGACCTGATTTTTGTTCTAAATGCATAAAATCCGCAGGCTAGGTATTACAGAAGTTACTTGTGCAATACAAGGTCGATGAATTCAGAGTAAAACAGAGTTTGAAGAATTTTTTGCGATTTCGAAGGGACTATTCCCAACTGGAAAATTCAAAATATTCTAAAACTTTGGAGACATGTAGAGTATATGTAAATAAGTATTACGCAATTTCTTTTTGCTTAAGTTCACAATAAGGGTTGCAAAGTAAATCCTAAATATTCGGCTATCTTTTATTTCATTGCTATAATTCGCAAACTGTACAAGATAGGAAAAATCTTCAAACAAAAGTTAATTCTTTTGTCTAAATATATTGTTATTTATTTATACATCGTTTATTTATATAAATAATCGATATTTTTTTTGTAATTGTTTTATTTCTTAATTTACACAAGAAAAGAAATTACGCAATATGTATATATCTACATATGCTCTACATATACCCAAAGTTTCAGAATTTGTTGAACTTCTTGGTTGGGGATTATCCCCTGTTAAATTGCCATGAATTTATAGAGTGGTGTCCACGCTTTACGTTAGTCCCATATTGACGTGAGATTCTTTGTTGTTGTCTTATTGAAGTTTGAGTGTGGAAAGTATTTCACTGGCATTACGATAATTGAAAAAGTACGTAATGAAAAGTTCATAGCGGATTTGGATTTTGCGTTTTGTTGGATTTTTCGCAAAGTCAACCATGCTTCAGTACACAACATTGTTGCACAAATATAGCATGCACTAGATACATACACACAAGGCACGACCTTCGATTGTGCAATCTGTTTAATCTAGAGGAAAGAGACCGAATACGGAATAATAGCCTAATACGGAATAGCGCGATTTCGCAGAATCGAACAAATAAATATCTGTTAACCGGCTTTAGGCTACTTCACTCGCTCACTTCGACACCGTACATGTTAGCGTTTCAGTCGAACGAATGCTAGTGGCGCGATAGGAGCATCTTGTTTTACTGCAACTTCAAAAGTTTTCATAGCGCAGTGTTTGATATTCAAGTAGGTAATTATGGCGAATAACCGTTTTTTTTGTTTATTTTGTAAATGTTTGTATATAATAAATGTATAAAGCGATTGCGTAACCATGAAGCCTTAATGAATAGAAAGAATAGAAATACTTTTCATTCCAAATGCGATGAAATGACAACAAAAATCGTACACTATTGGATCGTTGGAAACGGGAAAGTTAAATAAACTGTACACGAATTGTAGATATATTTAAAGCATCGATCCTAATTCTCCTACGAAGAGAGAATATCGTACCTGGACGTAAATATTTGTTTATACGAGTTTGTTTCGTGCTAAATGTACAGCGTTGCACACACTTTTTATTTCACTCGTTCACTAATTCAAGCTATACAGTGTGTAAATCACATTTTATGTCATTAAGAATTATGGAAATGTAGCATCGATTTTCTTTTCGAGCACGGACTTAAAAATCGCGTTTAATAAAACTTGTTTTCGTTTACTTGTGTAGAGACCAAACAACTGTATACTTAGTTTAATATGCGAAAATTCTCTTGTCGACGAAACATTTGCAATAAAAGGTACTACAGCTTTTTCTTACTGAAATAACCTAATCGATCGAAGGCTTGAAATGTTTTAATTCGATTCGAAATTTAGTTAGGAAGCGTTTAATGCCGGCGAATACAAAGCAACGGTATAATAAGCATTAATAATTGCTAGAAATGCAATTACAGCTCATAAGTAGCAACAAGATTAAGAGTTCCGTCAGGAACTTATGTGTCGAGAAGTGCTTGCATGTAATTTTAGTCACGCTAATAAGCATTCTGAACTGCATGCTGTAAAACGAGACTTGTTGCACAGTAAAAAAGTTAACGGGCGAATCGTTGATAATTATTCGCAGAACACGACATTGGTTGGTGCTGGGTTGAACGACGAAGAAGACGAGTTTGCTTCTGGGGTAAGGGAACATCATTTTAAAACGTTTTTGTTTCGTATCTCGCGGCTTGCTTCTAACAAAAGCAGCTACCGATTTGATATAGATGATATCAAAGATATCGTACAAATTACAACGGAAATTTCGTTTCTGAACGTCTAAAGAATCGTGGATGTGTACATAACGATACTATTAAAAGAATACCGCTTTCTTCGCCTAACGAAAGAACGTGTAATATTAAATGTTCTATATTGTTCGAGCAGGAAGTGCTCAGAGTGGAAAGAGAATTACTACAATTGGAGCAGGAGGAATTGAAACGACAACGCAATAATTTGGCGTACCGTGAACAGAAGCAACTAAAACTGGCCGAGCAATTGCAGGAACAATGGAAATCTTTACAGGACGTTGCGCACAGTTCCGCGAATAATATACAGCAGTACAAGAATCAGCCACCAGTGAATTACAGGTCATCGATGCCGAATCTTCAACTGCAGGACGTGCAAAGAAGAAGGCCGCCGCCCCCACCGATACCACCGGCGAAGCCATTGCGTTTGATAGAGCACAGACAAAGGGATGTCACCATTAGGTAATCGCATTATCGCTATTCGTTACTAGACTGCGGATTTCATGCATTTATCACGAAAATTAGTGGACAAATACAAGACAGAAAAAACATTTAACAGTAGAACTAACGAACCTTAATTTATGTTGTTTTATGACGATAACGATAACGATAGATTGTATTTATTTAAACTCAGTATTTCTGTAATTATAACTTCGTAATTTTGATTCTATGATAATATCTATGTAATTATATATGATTTTTATTGTATACTTGAATAAATAAGTGTATCTAATTTTTCAAAGATTTTTATAACACCAGGAATTGCAAGAGAAATTTTAAAGAATTTGTAAATATTGTTGCGTGATATTATTAAAATTATTGAATAACGAAATCAATATACATATAGCTCTTGTATCTTACAATTAGAGGAGACAATTTTCATTTTGCATAAAAATCCGCGGTCTGTTAAGATTTTCTTCAAACTTACAATTTCTTCGATAAGCAGCTTCGCCTTAATTTGCCAAAAAATTAACACGTTCGATATCGGCGCCTGTTTCTGCAGCAGCCTTCATCATTGTAGCAAATCTTCATACAAAATTAATGCTTTTACCAATTTTGATAAGTGGTTGCATCGGTATTCATAAATTCGTGTAGTATATTTCACAGTTTTGTAACGTTGGCGAATGGAAGTTGATGAAGTTACTGATTGAATACTGTAAAATAGTTGTAATTTAAGAAAAAGTTTATATACTTGTTGAAGAAGATAGTCCTGATGTTCTCCACCTACCGAAACAGGGCACGGTTATGTCAGCGCTTAAACAATCGATCCACAGCAGGAAATGCAAATTAGAAGTGGAACACGCGTACCACCATTGATCGTGTCACACAATTTCCTGCTATAGCTATAGCTTTCCGCTTTGTTGCGCTTGGTGTAACATTTTCTGGCTAGGTGACGTGTGGTCTTTCGGTGTCTGTAGTCTTCAGTTGCAATTCGATCATTCTTACTAGCAGCAGAATTTTTGAACCCGTTGCGGACCAAACATTTCATTCCTATCTATGCACAGTAATCGGTGCCATTTGTGCAATAAATATTTATTCAGTTATCTGTTTATAGTTGAAAATCGCTGTTTTGTTCAGTGTTTCAATATATGTCACATCAAACTACACATTTATTAAACACGAGTACACTTACCAACAAAAATTGAGAAACTTTACATATCGTTAACATTTGAATAAAATTTGATATATAACTCGCTTTTTATATTGCAATAGTGTTCTATTTAGTGCGTGTGACAAATAAAAGAGATAGTAAGAATTTTAATGAAATAAAATTACTAAAATAAAATAAAAATTAAAAAATTAAAAGAAGATTAGAAAATTGTAAAAAAATTAAAAAATTGTAAGAAAATAAAATTCATATTTTCGAAGAAGGTTTACTACAACCAAGAATATGCATCTGTGTGAGATGTTTCTTATATTTTGCCGATTAATAACGGTAACTGTACCAAAATATTAAATATAGAAAATCTTAATGCAACATAGTATTTTTGAGCCTCTTATCGCTGCTGTATTTCAAAATCTCTTCATATCCAGTGACCAGTGATTTAATTATAATCGAAAATTGCTGTCGTGTTAAATGTTTATTTGACTGCTAAGATTTGCATACTAAAGGTCCGCAATGTGTCAAGAATAGACGAGTATCTTAATATATCGACGATAGGAAAGTTTGATTCGATAATAACCGATGGAATGGTGATTTGTAAATATGAACAGGAACAGCAGAATTCCGTCTGCGGATTCGATTCCGCAACAAGTGGACGCGTCTTTGCGGCATAGTGCATCGGTCACGACACTGTCGAGCCACGCTGGTCAACAAATGAGCAGACAGACGTTGCAGGCACTTAGTGCAGTACCTCGACCACGAATCGTTCAGAGTGACCAATGGGTTCAGCGAAGAAAGAGCGATGTGCCACGTGGGGCCCACGACTTGAATTACCAACACTGGCTTATCCAGGTGAGAATTTGATTTTTGAGCGTAATAGTATAAAATTTAACTTACAAGAAGAGGTTGCGATTGTGTGTGTGTGTGTGTGTGTGTGTGTTGGATCGACGATTTTAATCAGACTTGTACTAATAAATCTGGAGCAAAAATAATTCAACCAATTTGCAATTTCCTTCGTAAGGAAAATACTTGACAAATAAGTTTTATAATATCTATAAATATTGGATCAATGTAAATGTATGGCAATAGCTATGGCAGCGAAAGTGATGGAGTGAGAGATTCTTAAATCTCTGAGCCGATGATTTAAATGTTGAAAGATTAATATTTTCTTTATTTGTTTCCTTTCTAGTACATTTTTTCTATTTTTAATTTGGTAATATTCATTAAATTTTTTCTCTTTTTATGTTTTTCCCTTCATTGATATCTTTTATTAACTTATTATAATTTTATCGCAATCAACAAAAAACAATGAAAACAAATATACAAAATAATTTACCGAAATTTGAAACAATATAGATTTTAAAACCTATCGTTTCTATTAACTGAGTATTTGTGAATATCCTGATTGATTGTAAAATTTGAGTCGACATATTTTCTCTATACATTTATCAGTTAATCCTTATTAATAAGCAGATCTTTATGCAAATTCTCATTTTCGTAAATTGTTTCACAAAACTCTGTAGTAGAAAATTATTTCTTTCACTATCTAGAAAATTCATCGCGGTGAGCACAGAATAATAATACAAATTATTTTTATTAACATTCACGTCGTTTTGCATTTTACAGACCCGCGTTTACCATAAATGCAAAAAGATCCGCAGTTTATTAATAAGTGTGTAGAAATAAATATAATGAAGAAATAAGATTTGCAAAGAAAAGTTTGTAACGTTTGTAACAAATGAAAAAGATAGTAAGAATTTTAAAAAATTAAAATAAAAATCAAAAATTAAAAAATTATAATAAAATTATTTACGCTATAAGCAGTTTGCTGTTGTAATCTCTTTGAGAAGTGTGTAAGTAACGTTTTTATAAAATATATAATTTAATCAAGAATATCAAAATCTTTCTTAAAATCAGTTAGCATTTTCTATTATGACGAGAATACTCGTTAAAAATAGCTAACTGGTTAATAGAACGCCCAAGTTCTATACTTTTGCAAAAGAGAAGTTTAAAGATACATCTTACAGAAGTATTTGTAAATGATATTTTTATTCATGTAGGAAAGTATATCGCTGATGCTGTAATGTTATGTTGCAGGAAGCGGAACAGAGGAGGATTAGCGAGAAAAATCAGCGATCACCAGCGCGTAAATCTCAAATGCATGTAACAGGAACGTCCGTTCCGTATGCTATGGCTCCGACGAGGACGGATAGCAAACCATTACCGGACTCCATTATACAAACTCTTACGCAGAGAGTGCAGAATAGAGCGCAGGAGAAGCCTCTTCCACCAAGAAGGAGGTAAGTAACGAAATCTTTGGAATACGACACAAATTTCTATACCACAAATACTTTTTTCTGATGTGCAGTGGAACGTCCGTTATATTAATGCCCGTTATGTGAACGTCCATTATGCGAACGTTCTCTTATATGAATGATCTCTTATTGGAACGTTCTATTGTATGTATGAACTGTATATTTCTTATTGCAATACCGTATTTAAACGCGCAACGTATTTAGTTGCTTCTATCGTATGAAATTTCTGTGGTTGCAGGAAAGAAGGTCGCATGTAACATGTTTCGACTTTTATAATATTGTCGCTTAACGTTTTGATCACTAATTCTTTTAATTGGCAGTGTTTCTATGTTCTTCATTTTTCTAAGCTTTTTGAATTTGTTTCTATGGTTTTTACTGATAAATATGTAAATTCTAGATTTTACATCTCAATTAATGCTTAAAATTACATTCTTTAAATTGTGACAGGCGACAACTTTCTTTACAACCACAGATTTATTCGCAATCATTCAGTATATTATCCCGAATATTATCGTCTTTTTGATTTTGCATTTTATGTGTGATGTTATCTAGATACAAAATAAATTGTGTTCATTTTACTTCATTTTGTCTCAAATGTTTAATCAAACTGGGTGTTAACAGCTTGTTCTGTTCTTCGAATAGTATTTTAGTTAGTTAAATAGTTTAGTAGTCATTTAGAAACGGATTGCAAAAATATGAAATAAAGAACGTGTACGAAAGTTTCAACTTACAATGTTTACTGTTAGAAGAAAACGCAAATTTTATGATTAAAGAACTTGGATATCCCAATTTTACCAGATTATACAACTTTGTATCAACATTTATATAATTAGAGGTAATCGAGTGCTAACAGAGTTTAATGTATTATAATGGTTTATAGTTTATAGAAATCGTTTAGAGGAATACAATGTTAATTCATCACTGTTTCTTTGTTTTCAGGCTAGAACATAGCGCCAGTCATGAGCATCTTACCGCGTTGCAGCATCAATCGCCGCAGCATGTTCATCAGCAACAAAAACCAGCACAACCGCCACCAATTAATCCTGAAAATCAAGAAAAAATGTTGAGCGTTAGCGGGAAAAAGAAATGCTCGCATTGCGGGGATGAATTGGGTACGGAACAAATAGTTTAACAAACAATAGTGTTTATTATAGTTAAAAGAATGCACGTAAACCGAATTCAAACACTTTCTAAAGTCACACTTTACAATAAAAATTTGATTTCTATAACAAATTGATAATTTGCATATTAATTGAGGCCCGTATTAATCATTTACTATCTAAGTGATTGATTGAATATATTTCTTTTTCCGTTCGTACAATACAAAATTATTTTCAAGAGAATTTTTCTAATACGTAATTGCCCAATTGAAAGCAATAATATTTATATTTATGTTTCTTTTTATTATAATCAGGTCGAGGCGCAGCAATGATCATCGAAAGTTTGCGGCTATTTTACCACATGGAGTGTTTCAAATGCTGTGTGTGTCATGTGCGACTTGGTGACGGACTAATGGGAACAGATGTGCGCGTTCGAAATCACAAGCTCCACTGCCATAACTGCTACTCCAGTGACGACGGTATCTACATTTAGCCTACACTACTAATATATAAAATTCATTAATAAATTAGAATATCTTTGTTTCCCAAAACACGTAAAAAGTTCACCAAACATGAAAATAACTTAAACATTCCTTTAAGTAATAAATCAGTAATATGCTATGTTAAAATCAAATATAGAAATTTTAAATTAGTCATGGAATGGTATCCTGGAGCCTCTTGTGAGCTACTATATTTCAAAATGATTGTAAACGCGAGACTTCTTTAATTTATTTCGAAAATTTGAATTCTGTAATGCCAAGTTTCATATCGAAAAAGATTTATTTGTACTAAATTATGACACTTCGTAGTCTAAAGAACAAAAATACCATTGCAGGATTGTTTGGATCACAATATTACAAATAAAATGAGCACCTACTAAACTTCATTACACAAACCTCACGCGATACATTTTTCAGTTCACAAATTAATATTTTCGTAAATACTCTGGACAATCCACTAACTATTCCTATTTTTACAATAAAGCAAACCTTTGAATTAAATAATGTTTAACAAGTATGCTATCAACGACTCTACTACAAAAGTTGTATTTCCTGATACAAGTGGCATCTTGGACTAGCTTTTAACGACTGTATTAACTCAAGTGTTTCTTAAACACGATCAAATTCGAAATTAATTCATTAATACGCTTACTAATATTATTCGAATGTTTTAATTTGTCCAGGACTATTCTGAGGTCGTTCGCGAAGCAAACCTTAAGAAATAAGAATTGATCTAACGACAAACGCCTTAAGATTTTTAACAATATTAGTATAAACGTCATCTGACTGTTCCAGGTGTCAAGTTCAGTTGCGTGTGAGACCCGGGAGTAGGACTACGCCGACTAACTTGAATATAGCATTGTCGGGCTATATTTTATAAGTGATAGTCGACGATTAAACTGTCGGTAACGCGCAACCGCGACACACCAACAACTCCTCTCATTCTGTAAATAAACTCTGACGGACGAAACGAACAAGAGAAACGAGCACACTGTCTCCGTTTCCGGCGATGTTCCTTCCGTACACAGCAAATCGACCGCGGAGCCTCGTGATTTCAAATGTAACACACCGGTTTGTTTTCATCGGCTAAATGTAGGACGTACCGAGAACATGTAAATAAACGTGTATTTATGTAATTAGCGTTAAAGATAGGGAATCAATGGAGCGACGAATCACAAGGCAGCCATCGCTGTCCGTTGGAAAACGATTTAGAGTAATATCGGCATGAGTTCACTGTACATTTTTGTATCATAGTTATCCCGTGGTATTTATGAGAAATCCCTGATGCGTGACAGCTATAATTACAAAAACCTTCTCTAGCCCCCCACCCTCTCACACACCCGTCCTTTTTCTCATCCATCTTGCTACACTGTTCTACGTATGCTTGGCAATTAGTAGACTCTTTTTATCAATTGGACGATCGTTTCTTTCTCTGTGAAGGTCGTTTAGATTTCTAGCTGACTATTGCGTAAAGTACAGTGACTAACTGTAGCTGCATACCAAGATACGATTTCGTCTTTTATTTCTTGTCTCGAATGACCGACGCGTGTCCGTTGTCGCGTCAGAAATTACTTACCTATTGTGAAATATTGTATGATACGGTCTCGTGTTATTACAACATGTAATTTTATATTATCGAGAATAAATGTTTATTATAGCGATTGTGAGTTTGTTTTTTCCACCTACATATCTTTACAGCTGATCTACATTCCTCATCTACGAATAATCCACAGAAGACATCATTGTTTTCTTGGGCAGATCTCTAAAGTGCAAGAAAACGTGTAAACTAACAAGATCTGATAGAATTACGATTTTTTTTCTTTTTACAATTAGTAATCTTTTAGTTCAAAGAAACTTTCCTTGAATCCTAATATTTGTAAGATGGCGTATGAAAATGAGAATTTAGGTAAAGATCGACCGTCTTGTTATGACTACAGAACTTTCTACATGTGTATTTGTAATTGTTCAAAAAAAAAAAGTTTACAAGAAAAACTGATATTATAACATATAGTACATTGTATGGTTCGTTTATACTTACCAGTGAACTATAGATTTTTGGATTTATAACAACAATACGTAAATGCAATTTGAAGCAGTATATAGATAGGAAATAAATGTACTACTTTCAGTTTATTAAAATCAATAAAGGAGTTAATGAATTTGTATTTGATCTTTCATTCTTGTACTCAGTGCAAACAATTTTGATATTTCCTGAAGATCCGTAGTCTCCACCTCAGCCTGAACAATCTTACTAATAAAAACTGAGTGAAGAAAAATACATAAAAAGGACTTAAAAACCGAGTAAATTTTCCACAATCTTCAATAATTAAACCTGAACCTGTACAAGACCTTCTCGGTATTTCTAGCAACAAGAAAGAAAATTAAATTTTGACGAGATTAAAACACAGCGTAAACTGATTTCAATGTAAGTACACATAGATGTTCCGACAGATACGTTTATAAAAGTTTTCCAGAAAATGTAACAAAGAAAGCTGTCTCTTATCTAAGAACGGAGGGAGTTTGTAAGGACAGTCAGGTAGCAAATGATTTCTGAGCAACAAAATGGAGTCAGACGTCCGAAGCGACGTTAAACTCTCGGCCAGGATAGTGTAAACAAATAGAGCGTAATGCTCGCAGACACGGGAGCCGGGTATCCGTTTCGCCGCACCCTACTTCCTTGAAAGCAATTAATTCTAGGTCGCGTTGCATAATCGCGAAAACCAGCGTCGAAGGGAGACGGAATCGGTAGCAGAGTGCTGCGTCGTGGTCCGTCAAGCGGAATTGAATTACCAACCACTTCTCGGCTCGCTTTATCAGTTTCAGTAATTCGAGCAACGTCCCTCTATTAATAGGTGAGCGTCGCATGGACCTGTGGAGAACCGAGGATACATGTGTGGGGGTGCAACATGAAACTAAGCGAATCCCTGTCACCAGTTTCCGCGATCTTCATGCAGCCGACGTCATGTTTTCGAGTCGTGTTACAGAGACGGACTCGGTTACAAGAATTCGCTGAACACATGGCTCTAGCTGTTGTGAAAACTGATTCCTGGATTAACTCTAGTTTACAGCTTCACGTTCACGAGCTGTCGTCTAAGCCAGCTTGATTCTTGTGCAGACAATTAAAGTGTATAAATAATTTTATAAGTTTAACCCATTAAGTGCTTTGTCGCGTTTATGAATATTTTAATCCACCTTGATCTTTATATAATTTATAATAGAAATCTAATGTAAGTATAAGTAAAATAATTTGAACGACATTCATATAATGTGAATATGATATAGATGTTTCATTATTACAATCAAATATTTCATCTACTATAATTTCTCATTTTTTATACTTCGATTTTGAAACAATAAATTGGTGCGATCGAGTCCACTGAATGAACATTCAGAATGGCTCTGTGATATTTTTAGAATGTAAACAATTGTTATTGGAAATATACTGATTATACGCACGAGAAGATATTAATTCAATATCAGTAATAAGGAAACATACTAAATCTACACATACAAGTTTGGATAAAATTTGTATGAGAGATAGCGACTAGGAAAATATTTCTTATGCATATTTACTTTATTGCTGTGTCGGCTGAAAACAGCCCTTAACCCCACACCGTCGGGATCATATAAAGAAAACCAGTTGTGTCCAAACAATGTATTGCAATATATTTACTATATAATAATAATAATATTTATATGATAGTAATATTATAATAATATCATAAAATTAATATAATGTTCATAGTCATAATGTTCATATTAATAAGATTGTAATGCTATTTTCGTATTGTTCTATGAAAAATACAGCTGACGTTTAGAAACTTCTTCTTAAATTTTGTAATCTTGAATTAGAGAACTCCAGTTGTGTAAATAAATTTTAAAAAATCATTTGATTAAATATATTAAAAGTTTGAATATCTTTTGTAACTTTTCTTAACAAAATGTTGGTTATGTTAAGGCTATTATATTACATTTTCATGTAAATTCATATGTACAATGATTTATGAACTAAAATCAGGGCATAAATGTTTTTCAAATTTTTTTGATAGTACATAATCATAATAACGATATGTAATTATGAAAGAATGATTGATAGTATCTAGAACAACCTGCTGATTTAGAGACCTTCGACTAGCAATAAAACGCACGCGTTTTGTCAAGGATTCGATAGATTCGCGTGATCTGTCATAAAAGCGGCACACGTCATTGCAAACACATAATTCCTGAGCACTATTCGTGTTTTCCCATAAAAGAAGCGATCAACAGCTAGATTTCTAAAGACCAAAAAGGCCAAAAACGTCAACACTTTCGGCATCATTGGGCAATCTTTTTAAAATTAGTATAGATTAGCTTTTTATTTTCGTTCGTTTTTTTGGATACTAATCAATAGGTTCTTCCATACTATTTTTACTAGCCGGAGGGCTGCGCGTGAGCAAAATCAGGTCAACTGGTGTGAACCGCTTTAGGGTGGATGCTCTTTATAGAAGTTTTATGGTGTGTTTAATAGGACAGAAAATACCTTCGAGTACAAAATTATGCACCCTCGAAGTCGTATGCACGGCAATGCACTTATAACTGTAACTCTTGGCGCTGAATTTCAACGGGTACGGCACAAACCTTTGTTAATAAAAATACGCTACGAAACATTGACGAATTATTAAATCGTTTGGTTCGAAATATTAGAAGAACGAAAAGCGTTGACCAAAATTTGTTTATTCCGAGTTTATATTGATTATCGCGCTATAGAACGCAGGCTAATGATATAATCGATGCCTCGTTAGTGACCCACGTGTTCAAGAATGCTCTACATAATACATAAGAGAAATTGAATGCAGTCACTAATCTTGCGAAATCTTAAGTCAGATTATGAAGTATCATCAAGAGTAAGTGATGATCAAGAAAGTTTAAGACGATGGGAGCTGTTGAATAATAATAATAAAAGAGTACAATAGCACAGCTGCACTTCGAAGTTCCTGGTTCAAAAACTTAATATATATGGAAATTTGGAATTCAATGAACTAAAAGATTTGCGAATATGATTTGGATAATGAACATCGTCTATCCTGGTCATCACATTAAATGGCGGATAGATTGAACAACAATGCTGAATATAATTCTCATCATTAAATTGCTGCACTATGCTTTAGACAATTCAAACATCCTTAATGCACCAATTCAGTCATATTTCACGGTGTATCGTGAGCAAAAGGATCTCTTTCCATATTCGCTCGACACCGTTACATACATATGCCTGTCCTCACTCCGTTGAGCACAATACGAACCCTGAACTAGAGCGTAGCACATCGAGTCGCATACGTTGTTTTCGAGCATAAAATTATTAATCCGTTAAATCAGGAGATAATCCGTCACGATCTATCTACACGAAGATCAAACGCGAAATTAATCGTTTCATTCGATAAACGCTGTACTAATTAACACTCTATAGGCCGAATTTTGTATACGGTTATAAAATAATTTATGTAACCTGAAATCAGTCTCTAGATAGAAATTAACAATTAATTTACGATCCTTTTAAAAAGGTTAATTTAATTAAAAAAATTTTTATTGTATATAATGGCTCAAATTAAAATAAAATTAATAATATTACTAGGATTTCTAGAAAATAGAATGTTAAACTAATAATTCTTACGGTAAATGTTAACTCTCCAATTTCGATTTCATTGATTAAATGGCTTCGATATTGTGGGAATTTTTGGTGCTGAAATAAAAAATAACTGGACATTCGAATGGCGACTTTGAGGTATCACTTGTTTCGTAAAAATCAGAGTTAAATAAAAATTGTCTTAGTCAATTAAAAGATTCTTCATTGTAAAAATATAGTACAAATTCTAATAATTCTTGTTAATTTACACATGTTTTCTTGCATTCTGCAAATCTGCGCATGTCGTAATTGCATGAAAATGCCAGGCTAGTGCTTTCAAACAATGTTTACATTACTAAATTTATTTGTCTTGAATGAATGTAAAAATAAAGTATAAATATTGTTATTTGACTATCTAATTTCTAACAGTTAATTGAAATGTTCAAATGTTTTATTGATATCCCTGGAAAAAGTATGTCTGGAAAATGTCTTCAAAACAGTGCTTTAAAAATATATTGAAAAAGATTGATAAATAAGATCATAATCGATCCCAAGTATACACTGTTTTATTTTTGTGAAACAGGTCCATCGTTGCAGTGTTTAAGCATGGTATGTGTAAGTGCACTCATTTTTACTTTGTTTTATTTAGAAAATATTCTAAGTCAAAATTTCTAAGTTCAATGACGATAATGCAGCTCACGATATTAATTAGCTCTACAATAGTTAGTCTTCTATAATAGTTAATCTTCAACTTCCATGATACATCGACGTCGGTCATATGTAAGTGACATAATTCTACGTCCATTTGCACGTAAAAATAATTTGTTTCCATTATCAAGAGGTTGGTCAAGAAATTTCGATTTCGTTCACATGGCAATAATTTCCAGGAATCTCTATGCCATGAAACTGTATGACGATTTGTTGAATCGACTTATTGGCATCGTTAATTTGGGTACTCTCTATTAATAGGCGCGCACCTGCGTCGGCTATGTTTCACGTTGTAGCGTAATCGAGCAGCGGGAAACGAACTTATTTTTTTCGATAGAACGCCGGAACGAG